ATTTTTTTTATTGCAAACTCTTCCTCCATAAATGGTACCTCCATGGAAGTGAAGCAACCTGTCATGAAAGCACAGATAGCTGGCCACAGATGAGGAAAATTCTGATGGTCCACTGCAACAGAGAGATCACTTCAGGCATATTTTTCTTCACTGCAAATTGTTTGTCTTTAAATAAAGTGCCTTAATTTATCTGTTTCCTTGTCTATAAAATGGAGATACTGCCTTCCTGAATGACAGTAGGTTATATTAGTAAAGCATTTTAAGATGATTAAATGGCTTGTGCTATGGAAATTGAGATTATTACCATGTTGAAACTTGGAGGCACTGACCTTGACAAAAAGGTAAGCGACAGCCTGCCTGTATGATCAAGCAGCATTAGGGAAGCCAGCACTTCACTTCCATGATGCTCAACTGTAATATAATCATCTCTAATGTAGCTGTTAGAGGAGCTTCCCAGCCTCACTGGGAGAACTTACTCAGGAAGGTCTTTCTACGGCATGCAATTACAAAATGAGAATGCAAGGGAGGGTACGGGATGAATGAAAACAAACATGATTCTAGGAACAACTGTTCATGGTTAATACTTGACCATTACTTCTTGACAGGATTAATGTCTTTCTAATCACACTAATCCCTTCTGATAACTTTATCCATAATCCATCTATTTCAAAGCAACATCCAGATGGCTTCTGGTGGAGAGGAAGGCAAAATAAACGTGCAGAATGGGGTCTTAAGAGCCACTTTTTGTATTTTCCCTTTCTGGGGATATAGGTTTTTATCTTGAGACAGGTCAAAAAATGTGTTTTTTATCAGAAAGGAACAGAAAAAACTAGAGAATTGCAGAGAAGATAGAAAGTTCTATTTTTATTTGTAAATAAAATACTTCATAAGTACTCTGATACTTATCAGTGACAGCCAGAAAAAGCCTAAAGGTGCTCATAAGGGTTTAGATTAGATTTCTAAGATATTGAAAGAGCTCCCTTCCTCATTACATCAAAATTGCTATAGTAGTTTTGGGGTTTTATCCAGATTTCTCTCAAAGTAGACATGAAACTTGCTAATTAATAGTTTCATTGGTTTGTACTATTATCAATATTTTAAACAACCTAGTAACTGGCTTTACATTTTTAATGAGTCACATATAATAATAATTCCTGCAGTTGTCGAGGTCTTCCCTTCTGTTTTCCCCTTAAAAGCTTAATCTAGGTTTCATTAGATCTTCCACTGAACCTGGCTTCTCTCTTTGCCTTCGTCCCTTAACAAGGACTCCATAAAGAAATAATTTATTGTAACCTTTCATAAATCACATAGATCACATAAATCACATGGATCAAATATCTGTCCTGTCATTCCGAACCTAACCGGATTCTGAGACTTGACAAGAATTAAAGGTACACTGTTTTTCATTCCATTCTGTTTCCTGAGAGTCTAGTAGTGGATGGCACAGGAACATCTTTGTTCAGTCATAGAAGCAGCTCAGGAAACTGTTGGGAAAGTTTTTATGTAGCCAAGAGTGTCTGATGAAAATTAGATTTAAAGGGAAAACCTGAACATGATACAGTGATCTTAAGTTAGACCATCTGGAAGCTTACTCCTCCTGACTTCTTTATTCTCTAGGAAGTAAGAAAAGTGCTTTTTCTTGTCATTCTTTGGCCACATTATGTGAATGTTGGAGCTCTAGAGATCAATGGTGAGGAACTCCTGTGATGTAACTGTGTGTTACTTAGTTCATACAATAACTGTGATAATCAATATGTCTCTTGATCTTTATGTCTTCTGTCCTATTCCCTCTGACATCAAATGTATGAAGCCAAAAGAGAAATAGTTAATGAGTGATTACTGTCTCATACTAGTTACAGGCATTTCTTTCTGAAAATGATTCTGAGCAATTGCTGAAAATGACATGACCATTGTTGTTCCCCAGGCTTTGGAGAATTGCTTCCACTGATCCCTTCTTAAAACTGAGCATTGCAGGTCATGAAAAGCACAGGGCTTTGTCTGAACCCAGACCTTTGTTCATGCTTCTGTCACACCACAGCTACCCCCGTTGCACCTCTATAGTTAATTACTTTTGAGGACTTTCTCATCACAGCATGAACTGAGCATGACTTTATCTGGTGACAGGATAATCTCATTACAGATGATGATCTTGTTAATGAATATCCCCAAGACAGAGCAATCTCATTATTAGCCCCCTCAGGATTTGTCACCTAAGAGCCAAGGTATGAATAGATTCTGGCTGCACAACATCCCCCCCAGATCCTAATGGCCCAATGTCTTGAGGCTGAGGAGCACGCCCAAAGGTACATGAACCACTGGACATATTTAGTTAGGATTTTTGTCCCTAAGAACTTCTGGACATACTTCTCAGGTGAACAATCAAGACAGTTCAAGCGCTACGTGCAGGGTTCATCTCCCCGTTGTTCTGTAGAATGAGCACAACACAGCAGCATCAAGGACAACAGAAACAGTGTGGCTTTACCACATTGATAGTGGCTTCAGGGCAGTACCAGGAAAAGTGGTACAGAGTCTATCTCCTTGGTAGTGCCCTCTCCAATCAACCTGATTTTCATTTTTCCTTTTTTTTTTCTGGGAAGGTTAGGGTTGGGGATGAAAAGGTGCTCAAGTCTAGTGCAATATAGGTGTCTCCTTTGGGCATCAATGAGCTGTTGAACAGGCTGAATGGCCTGCGAAGCCTCAGCCTGCGAGAAGAGTTCAGTCCTAGAAATCTAATAACAACATAGAGATTGTTTTACAGAAAACTAACACATTAATTTGAGCCAAATGTTTTATCAACATTAACTCAACTGTTTTATAAAAAAAAAAGTTTTAGAATATTTGCTCTTGTGTATGGACCCATCCAAGGGGAATGCCAAGGAAGTAGATATCAGTGCTGCGTTTGTACACAGTGCTTTACGGACATGCAGAAAAGTGGAATTTTTGTCAACTACAATGATAAAAGAGAAGGAAAATCAATGGTTACAAGAGTGAGAGTTATCGAGATGCTGATTTTCTAAATGATCCATATTACAGTGCAACCAATGTTTTCCCTTGCTCCTACAGTATTAACAAAACCCATGCTAGATGAGAGACTGGCAATGCAGAAAAGCAATACATTTTCTTAATTAATTTAGTGGATAGCAGGAACCTGAGCACTAAATCCCACCCATTTGATTTTCATTAAATCTACTATGAAGGTTAAGCTGCACTTTAGCATTGGCGCTCAGCAGAGTGGGGTCAAGGAGATCTCATTCAAGGAAATGCAGCTTAGTAAATGACTGTTTCTGAGGAAAGGCCTGATAAACAGTTCTGGTTTATGAGAAAGCTAGCTAGACAGTGGGGCACATCAAATAGTAAATGCGGTATTTCATTTCACCTGCAGTTTTCCTGAGATGAATGCTTTGAAGAGTTTACAGAAACTTATTCATAGAATCATAGAATCATTTAGGTTGGAAAGGACCTTGAAGGTCATCGAGTCCAATCGTTAGCCTAGCACTGCCAACTCTGCTGCTCAACCATGTCCCTAAGCACCACATCTACACATCTTTTAAATACCTCCAGGGATGGTGACTCCACCACTTCCCCGGGCAGCCTGTTCCAATGCTTGACAACCCTTTCAGTGAAGAAATTTTTCCTCATATCCAATCTAAACCTCCCCTGGTGCAATCTGAGGCCACTTCCTCTTGTCCCATCACTTGTTACTTGGGAGAAGAGATCAACACCCACCTTGGTACAACTACCTTTCAGGTACTTGTAGAGAACGACAAGATCTCCCCTGAGCCTCTTTTGCTCCAAGCTAAACAACCCCAGTTCCTTCAGCCGCTCCCCATAAGACTTGTGCTCTAGACCCTTCACCAGCTTCATTCCCTTCTTTGGACACACTCCAGCACCTCAATGTCTTTCTTGAAGTGAGGGGCCAAAAACTGAACTCAGTATTTGAGATGCAGCCTCACCAGTGCTGAGTACAGGAGAATGATCACTTCTCTAGTCCTGCTGGCGACACTAATTCTAATACAAGCCAGAAGCCTCAAGCAACACTAGTGTCAATGGAAACTCAAATCTTAGCGTTAGGTCACTTGGAAACAGCATCAGAGTCTATGTCAGAGCAGCTTGGAGCAAGTTCAGGGACCAAACAGTGCCCTCTAATTTGCCTGTCAAAGAGGGTCAGTGGAAGCTAAAGCACTTGGCTGTATAGCTTGGCAGAGGCAAGCTGTACAAGCAAGAGAATGACTCCTGGTCATCCTCTGGCAGTGGTGGGCAGGGAGCTAAAGAGGAAAGAAAAGGGTGAAGTGACGATAGCATTTTCTTTGCTCGTTGCTGTGCAGCCACACCTGCCCATGAAAGAGTTTCCTCTGCACACCATACATTGTCTCCGCTGCAACTGGAGGCACGCTGAATCACAGTCCACTCTCCAGTGTGCCCCCTGGTAAAGCACAAATACATTTTGTATTGGTTGAGAAAGAAAAGAAGTTATTCTTTTAGGTAAAAAATGGACTATATGAGAAAATTATCATTAGTGTTTTTCAGTTTGAAGTCATGTTCTGGTTTCACACAGGAAGGGATACGGGGCTTGACCAGATTTCCTTCAGAAGTCTCTTTCAACCTGAATTATTCTATGATTCTGTAAAATTATGTGTAGAGTTTCATACCTAAGTTTGTATGACTGATTATTGCCACTGGTCCTGTGAGCCGAACCATCACACATGTAGGTTATGTAAAACTATCCCTCGAGCTTCAGGGAACAGTTGATGGGATTCAGTCCTCATATGTGCAGCCTGAGCTTGCAAGTTCCTTCCCTGGTAACCAGGGTCTCACACTGCAATTAGGAAACATCTCTTTAGACACAGAGGCTACAGCTTCAGTGTCACTGGCAAGCTTCTAAAAACACTGATATGCATGCAATCCTGAGAGAAGCAGCTAAACTGGCATAAGAAATTAAGTTTTCAGTTGTGTTAGTGTTATGCAAAAGGTACTATATATGTTGTGTTTTCTTTCCACAGCTTAATGTCTGGGCTAGCAGCCCTGGATGCCAAGACTTCCAGTCGATTAGGTATCATAACCGTCACTTACTACCTGTGGACAACATTTGTGGCTGTGATTGTGGGAATAATTATGGTCTCCATTATCCATCCTGGTGGAGCGGCGCAGAAGGAGAGCACTGAAGAGGGTGGAAAGCCCATCATGAGCTCTGCAGATGCACTACTTGACTTAATCCGGTAACTACATTCATTCTTTCTGCTTTCTGAAGGTAACATTTTGTACCTAACTGCATGAGGAACTGTGCTCTGAGGATAAATTCTGAACCTCAGGATGAACGTTTTGTTTAAATCAAGAAAAAGAATCAAGAAAATTTTGGAAGATGAATTTCAAGTTATCAGATATTTATAGTGGCTGTTTCTAGTAAAATTTAAATGAATGGCCACCAAACGTATCAGAATTACTAACAACACTGGGGTAGGTTGGTTTTTTTTACCCCTGCAGAATCACAGGTAGCCTGTGGAGCTCATCACAAAATCTATTATTAAGGCAAGACAGTATTAAAATGCAATGTTAATTTAAATAAGGGCAGATAGTTGTAATAAGCAAAACTTTAAATATAAGAGCTGAAATGCACATTTTTCAGGAAATAATTCTTAAAAGTGCTATTATAACTGGTCATAAGAACTCTCAGATGAAGGACACAATTAGAAAGACTACTGTTGTGATCTTTTTATTCCTTATTTTTATCACATTATTTATTCTGCTTTGTGCTTTTTCATGTTTATTTTACTTTGTTTCACAGAAGGGAGGGTTGTTCTTTTAGACTAGCATTAGAGCACTGATGGTATTTTGGTAGCCTTGCCTGAATAACCCTCTGTGTCTCAACATTTGGTTGGTAGTTTCTCAAGCCAGTGATCTCATACTATATTGGGCAGGGGCATCTAGGCCCAGTGTGTGTCTAAAAGACAAAGAGTTCTCTTTGGAGTTTGACTTATTAAAACAAAAAATATGGCACAGTTTGTCTTTCAAAACCCAAATTTCTGACCCTGACAGGGCGTCAGTACACCAAGTACTTTAATTAGAGTTACTGGGACATCAAATCAGAAGAAACTGGGATGAAAAGCTTACAAAAATCTTTTTTTTCCTCTTCCAAGTTGCACTTAGCCAGGCCATCTGAAACCCGCATGTTTTTCTATTGTATCAATGTCTTACTGAGAATGAGACAACTTATATTAATCATGGAGCAGCAGCTGAGCACTCTTTCTTTTATAGCTTTCCACAAAACCATCTTCATCTGCAAAGGGAAGATGCCCACTTCATGGCATCTGTATCTCTCCAGTGAGTTTGCTGTGATGTATGCGCAGTGGAATTCACACGTATGTGTTTGTGACATAACATTAAGTCACATTATTGTGTTTCTGCTGCATAAAATACTGTAATTCCTACACCAAGAGGAAGGAACTGAGCGAGTTACTGCAGCTTTGAATCCCTTAGTATGAAAGAGTCACATAAGAAGTAAAAGGGAGTTTAAGTAATCTTATGTATTACCTTCATAGTGGCAGGTTGTGGAAACCCTTTCTGGCACGCTGAGCTGTTTCTAAGGCTTTCGTGTTAGACAAGTAAAGACATAGTGAGACACACAGTGCAATGTTACGTCCAAACTGACCTTACAGCTGTCTCTGGAAAGGGTCTCCCTAGCCATAGGTTCCCATCCCCCTCCTCACACCAGCCCAGTTGCTTTTTGAGACCCAGAGCAAGCTAGTTCATGGAGATGAGTAAGATGAAAAGTAATTTGGGCATGCAAAATTTAAATTCAGTTTATAGCATTACGTTTGCATAAAACAACCAAATGTATGTATGACTGTAATGTGAGATCCAAGTTACGATCTCATCTCTTCATCTCTTTCTGGCTAGTCTCTGTACACCGCAGGTTTAGTGGTGAGATTTGGAAACACTTTATTCTGCTGAGCCTCATTGCAGGGAAAATACTATGTCCTGATCTAAACATTTGCAAATATTATCTATAATTTAATTTTCTACAAATATTTACCTGAGCAAATTATAATAGTTTGTATGCATATTTCAGGTGCTCATGTTTCTACTTCAGCATGTGCTTTTAGTCTGTGAGACCTTAAAGTCTTCACTGGTTTGGGCAGGTGTCAACAACAACGGGCCAATGAGCTACTCTGATTACTGAAGCTTAAAACCAGAATAAAGCTCACTCACCTTTCGCTGTGCTAAGCAGCAGTCACAGCTACAATCTTTCTACCCTGAGTGCTCAAATTGATCGCTTTTGTTCCTCTGCTACAGAAATATCACATTTACTAAATACATAAATAAGAATAACACAACTGTGCGGAGCAGGCTTTCAGCCTAGGCAAACACTATGGTTGAAATCCTGGCTCTGCTGAAGTCAGTTGCAAAACTCCTAAATATCTATGTGGAAGTCTGGATTAAATGTAATGATGTATCTGCTGGTTTGAGCTAGAAAAGCTGATCCTTCAGCTCAGTGATAAATCACTTCCATTCACAGCTGGAGACCATCTTTTTAGGACCAGATTGGCTTATCTTCTCAATTCATTAATTTCCTCTCAATTTATCAATTGCATATGTGCACAGAAGTTTACTCAGGAAACATCTGGTATTCTGCAAATGAAGAATGCTAAATGTACAAGTGGAGAGATGATATATGTGACATAATTGTGGAGTTTATTTTAAAAGCATGAATCTTGGCATGGTGATATACATATTTGCCCTCTCTGATTTCAGATTTGAAACCACTTTGAAATGATGAAATATATTATTATTTCTTGTGATGTTATATATGACATTGTCAGGTCTGGAATTTTTGTCAGGGAGGATGTTACCAGAAATTGAATTTCTAGAGGTTTTGGGTGAGGATTTTGCTCTTGGAAGTGGGTTTAATCAGAAATTAAAGAATGTACTGACTTAGCAATAAACGAAACCAAGAACTACTTCAGAGGCTCGTGGTCATCCTAAACACCTGCAACAGTAATCAATCACCACGTTATTATTCTGCATTCTTTTGCAGATGGTGCTTCCCCTGTATATTTGCCTGTTATGTAAAAAAACAGCACTAAAATCTCTGGTATATATGACTTGATTAGGATTTAACAGTGACACTGTACTGCATAATTCTGAAATAGCTCTGAACCTCACATCAAGCAGGACATACCTAATCTCATTAACATACTGAATTTCATGCCTCAAAAATTGTATCCATAAGTCAACCATTTTTTGCCACACTAAACAGCAGTACTTGGAAGACTTCCTTTCTAAAGGGAACCCCAAGAGATTGGGGACGAGATCTGTGGATGTGAATCGGCCTCTACTGATTTCCTCCTAAATTCAATCTGCAGAGAGGCCACTGAATGCAGCCTAACAGAGGTGTTTTCAACATTCAGTTAGTCTTCATACCTTTAGTGCTGCTTTGGTCTTAAATGTTTGAATTTTTGATTTAATCTGATCCAGCTTTAAACTAACTATATTTTCTGCTGTCTGTGGAAGATATCCATTTAACTAGGTAGTTCACCCTCAGATCTGTGCAGGAATCTCCCCTTGCATATCTTGCCCTTCTCCATCGGCAGTGTGCCAGGATCCGGGCTAAGGACCAGCAATTCAGAAGGCATCTGTGAGGCTGAGGCCGTGCAGGAGATGCTGTTCTGAAGATGCTTCTCTCTTTAGCTGCCACTTTATTACTACATTGAGATAGATATGCAAATTTACCTTAATTATATTCAAGGTTTCTGGTGCAAGCACTGCCAGACTCATGAAAGTATATTTTCTTCCATATTTAAAACTATAAATCCTCCGGCTAAGGATCATCTTGCTCTCTCTAACGCACTGAAGTACCTGATGCTTTATGAATTTTGATGGATTTATTCTCACGATGTGCGATACTTCTGTGAGGTAGGCAAGTACCATTTTCCTTTCTTACAGCTAGAGAACAAAGACATATGGAAAAGAAATTACCTCACTCAGGATTGTTCAGCAAAATCTATGATGCTGGAGGAAATATTTGCAGTTCGTACAAGACCTAGTAGAGGTCTTATTCTAGGAATGTGGCTTTTGAGGGACCTCAATGGAAGTAATAGCAATGAATCAATATGCATCTTTTCCTTCTTTTTCCCAAGTGAATTGTTGAAATTAACTCTGTACTATATCTCCAAAAATAAAAGAGTGAATTTTTAGTAGCCTTTGGTAAGTTAAGAAACAAAGGCAAGATATCAATTTTCTAAAATAATTCAGGCTGGGAGTGTTTTATTAAAAAGGACAAAAAAGGACATACTTACAGGAATAGTCTTCAATTTAAGATATTGAATATGTTTGATTTTACAATGTATATTCACCTGACAAGCAGAACAGAAAACACCTATAATTTGGGGACGAACATTTGTAAAACAAGATACATGACTTAGGGCCACACTGTTTACATTAGCAGTAAATATTTCCACCACTTTCTGTTGCTGTTACCAAAATACCTTTGATTTAGAAGGGTAAATCTTGTTACAACTTAAATCACACTACTTGCATTTGTCACCGAGGGAAACAAAATTTGGCTGATGAGATAAAAACAAACAAGCAAACACCATAAACATTCACATGAGGAAAGAAATCCGAGCCAAACTGGGCCTTCACCCTCCTTTTTTCTGTAAGGCTGACGGCACGTGCAAGTCTGGGCACCAGCAAGTGCAGGGTTCACACACGGTTTTAGTCTTTCTCAAGTCTAACCAGACAGCATGACGTCACAAGCTGGTTCATTTCAAAAGCTCCACTTAAAACAGTTCAGGATCAAATCATGCCTTAACCTATGACACACAAATTTCTACATTTCTGAAGTTTACAGGAAGGCTGAGTCAGAGCATTTTGCCACTGAATATTCAGGATTGTATCCAATTTAATAGCAAGTACCGGGAAATTCAATCTGGCTTAACCAAGAGAGGATGGGTTTTTTATACCATTAATAGTTAGGAGAGGATATAAACACGGTAGAGGATTTACGTTTTCATGAGAATCCTGAGCACTCTTTAAAATAATTCAAAATAATTTCCTTTCCCTCTTTTCAAGGTAAGGGCTACATTCTATTTTATAGAAATTGTGTTTCTTGAAAATAGGGCAGGAGAAACCTAATATCTGCTGTAGTTCGGAAAAAGTCCAGCCTGTGCAGAACCAGAAATTGTGTTTTAAAAGGTTTACAGCTGAGGACTGAATTGTA